ATGTCCATAAGAAATGAATAAAACAGAGGGTTACATGATGGGAGCAGATAATGTCAAGACCAGTTTCTATGCTGGAATAAACTATGGAGTGGATTTTTTTTAATGGTCTAATTACTTTAAATGAGTTTTGTCAAGAATTAATAACAACCGAGAGTCTCTTATCCATCTAGAGATGTAGTAAATAAGAAGAAAAAAAATATGTACGCGTACTGTTCAAATAATAAAGCAAACAATATGTTCTTATACTTTATGCGAAAAATATAAAGATTACTTGTGTACAAATTTATCGGTTTGAAAAAAAAAAACAAATTTTATATTGCTTACACGTTTTATAAAAGCCATACCACATTAGACCATTTGAATGTAAATTTATTTAAAAAATGCATAACATACAAAAGACAAAATACAAAATTATCATTGCAGCTCTTATCGTTAAAATGATTTTTAAGTTTATTTTTTTTATGATTTATTAAGCTAATTTCTAAGTATCATAGCATGTTTTTGTAATCTGTAGTATACCAAATTATAAAATTTCTTTTAATGGTAATTTTAGCTACATGCGTTTTGTAATGGTTTTTTTGTAATTTTACAGTGTCACGGTATAACATATAGAGATTTATTATGTAAAATGAAAACTAATTTACACCGATACCTACCCGAAATTATTATACTTATATTTAATAATTAAAATTTTGGGTACTTATTCTTATATTAGCCAATTTAGCAATGACCCCTTTGCCGAAGAAAGAATTACCACTAGATATATTTATTTATTATATTTTTAAATAGGTAATACCCAATTAGAAATATAAGAAGGATAGATAAAATGTACAAAAACATAGAATTTACACAAAAATAAAAGTATACAGTTAACATAACAGCTGACAAATAAAATTAATTTCAACAACACAAAATAATAGATAAAGATGAACAATATTTACACAATTAGATTATTTAAATAAATAACAAAAGCAACTATCAAATTTTTAAGAAATAAATCAATATTATTTTTATTTACTAGTCGTATTATGCGATTTAAAGGGGCATTACGATAATAGTTAGAGCGCTGGAACGGGACATAAATAGTATCCAACTGACGATTTATACAACAGAAAACATGCAAATTTAACCTAGAAAGTAATACGTGGCAGTTAATGTGTCCAATTGTTAATTTAAAAATAAAACACAGATCATGTCTTGCACGTCTCATAGCTAAAGTTTCAAGTTTAAGGAACGACCGGATCGGCTGATAGGAAGAATGAGGATCACGTACAAAACCACATTTAAATTGAACTGAACGCAGGAGGTGAATTTGATCAGCTTCAATAGATTTCATTGCACCAACTGTATGATGTGACCACACAATAGAGCAATAATCAAATAGCGGTCTATCAAGTGAACAGTAAAGAACTTTTAATGTATATGGATTATTAAAACCCTTACAGCTACGATTGATAAAGCCTAGCAAAGATGACGCTTTGTTTTGGATGTAAACATAATGATCGTTAAATGAAAGAGAGGAATCGAGATGAATCCCTAGATCCTTATATTGGTAAACCCGTTCCAACTTTATATCATTTAAAAAGTAATTAAGTATAATAGGGTTACGTGACTTACAATTAGAAAAAGTCATAATTTTACACTTTCCTACATTTAAAAATAGGTTATTAGTACTACACCAATTACTAAGAATGATAAGGTCATTCTGAAGTAGGACACTATCAGCAGGCGATTTTATGAACCGAAATATTTTCATTTCATCCGCAAAGAGTAACATATTAGAGTTAACAAATTTTATATCATTAATTACCAAATTAAATAATAATGGACCAAAATAGGAACCTTGGGGTACTCCAAATAAGAAAAAAACTAGCCAGGAATAAAAGGGGTCACTTAAACCTAAAAATGATAGCTTAGAGTAGAGAATACTGTGATCAATTCTATCAAACGACTTAAAAAAATCTGTAAAAATGACGTCTTCCTGATAACCTGAGCTAAAAGTATCTAAAAAATAATGTTGGAGAACAAGTAAATTAGTAGTGGTCGATTTATTCAACATAAAACCATGCTGTTCCTCACCAATTATATTTTTGAATAGAGTATGAATTGTATTATTTACAATTTATTCAAGTAGTATAGGAATAATAGAAGTTATAGATATTAGGACGATAGTTAGTTAATAAATTTATATTGCCACTTTTAAACACAGGTAAAACGTAAGAAACTTTCCATCTATTTGGAAATACACCCACTCTAAGTGACATATTGAACAATTGTAGTAAAGGAAAAGCCGAAACAACTTTACATTTAGTAAAGAATACATTAGAAATATTACAGGTACTTAGATCAACACATTGTGCATCCTCACTACTGACAACAGTATGTCCCCCGATCGAATTTTGATATACGCTTGAATAATATTTAGCAAAGCAATCCACAACTTTATCTCCACCACTAGAATTTTGATTAGTATAAGAAATGAACTCAGGGATAAGAGCAATCGAATGTTTGTCATAAATGTATTTCCAAAACATCTTAGGATTGGAATTAATCGAAGTTTGTAATTTATGCATATATTTAGCTTAGTCGAGTTTATTCGGGACTTTACATTGAGCACGTAGATTGGAAAAACTGTAATAATTCAGGTCAGTAGGGGACGTTTATATACCTTTTGGGCAATTTTCTAAGAGAAAATTAATTGTTTCAGTGTACTACTAAACCAAGGAGGATAATTTGGTGTGTATACATATCTTTTACGACAATTTATATTATTGATGTCAAATAACTTAGCATACAAATTATCAATCGGATCATTAATATTTAAGCCTTTAATTGTGCCATTCCAGTCAATCATAGCTAATCCAGATCTAGTATTATTATAATTACAGTTGAAAAAGTCATATAGCTATTCCTTATAGTTTTAACTATTTAAAGTAAAACTAGGACACATAATTTCTAAGGCTGGGGGATACATAACATCTATGGTAATAAGCGGATCAATTCCAGAAGTAATATTAACATTAAGAATGTTATAAAATACAAGATCAAGTAGTGAACCTGAGCGGTTGTATATACGATTTTCCTGCATTAAATTAAGATAAGCCAGACAGGCTAAAATATTGGCGCCACGAAAACTATTATTTACGAATCTAGGAACGATTTTGTCATTATTACAACTCCATTTAACATTAGAGAGATTATAATCGCCCAATATCAAAAACATGTCATTTAAGTTATTACACATCAAATTATCAAAAACTTTTACATGTACATTATACTCATTAATATCAGAACGCGGTGGAAAATAGACCACACTACCAATTATAGATTTTAAATAAATTTTCATAAACAAATGTTCAATTGAATCCCGTTGAGTGATAATACGATGACAACGTAATTGGACTTTGATATCAATAAGAACCTCTCCGCCTCGAATACCTGAGCCATGTACATTGCATCTTATGCATCGGAAAACGGCATATCATGTTGAAAGATCAAGTGCAGAGTCGTTTATAGAATTAGATAGCCAGGTTTCCGATAACACTATTGTATCATAATTTGAGAGAGCCAAATTGCTTATAAGATTGTCTAATTTAGTATTTAGACCGCGGACATTCTGGTAATAAATAGACAAGCTGTTTATAACCGCACACTCGTTTGAAAGTTTTTTGATATAGTAGGAATATTGTTGACGAATCTAGCAAAACTGTTAAGCAAATTTATGGTTAAATATATAGTAAAGATATAAAATCTACTTGAACCTTAAATCATAAAAATTATACACTTCTTGCGTACACGTGTTACGACAACGATGTTGTCATCCTCAGCGCTAAAACAGACTGTAAGATAACCAGTGTTAAATAAATAGGTTTAATGATACTTATGTATAAAACAAAGGATATGAGGAAGGTGTGTATTTGTGAAATTATTTTCATCTGCGCGCAAAACTCAACCGCACTTAACGGCCATAACGGTCAACTTAAATTGTCCGATAGAGAAGAAATATATAATTCTTTATCAATATGTTACTTGAATGGTATTCAAAACTAGTTTGAAGATTTTTCCATTCCATTCCAAAGGTTTTTACACGGCGTGTGCGATTTCGTCCAAGATAGATAAAAAATATATAATATATTACTCTTACCTGTGCCGACGTTTGGAAATACACCGCACAGACAGTATGGGCACTTTTGAAATGCATAATTTTAATTTATTTTCAAAACGATAATCAAATTTCAATCGAATACTTGTAATAATTTAGCTGTACGACCTATGGCACCAAAGACAGATGACGAATAAAACATAAAATAAGTATTTTCCAAGTGTCTTCCGTGTTGATTTAACACAATTCACAAATGCAAAAAAACAATAATATTAACCTAACCGTACATAATATTCTTGGGTATTATAAAAATATATAGTATTGCACTGTGATACCTATTCAATATTATAAAATGTATAGACTATTTCCTGGACAAATACAAAAAATGTTTCATTTTTTTTGTATTATTGTACAATTTTATTGGCACATGTTGACAATGGTGTGTTCTTATTTTTTCACCGCGGACGAGTACGTTTTTACAACAAGATGATGTTTTTGTTTCTTAGTTACAAGCAAAATAGTACAACATTTTTTAGGTCTTGAGATGCTTGTTTTACTGCGTGTGGTTTCTGCGCCGCCAAACGATGTTGCTGAATTGATCGAAGAGGGATAACACAAAATATATTTTAAATCATATTAATCATATATAAATTCATCGGCTTAGAAATAACATGTGTTGGAAGCTAGTTCAAGATGTCCGTTGCATAGTAGCTAACCGTATGCAATTATGGAATATTTTAAATACTCCTGTCTTCCTATTTTTAAAAAATTGTAATAATCTTTATAATAAGTTTTAAAATAAGCATTGAAAAATGTATACCAAAATTATTGTTGTTTTGTTTCAGCATACGGTTAAATGTATAAAGAATTTTTGTCGATAGAAAATACACAGATGTAGAAGCCGCACAAAGATGTCAAGGTTGATTTTGTTAGATTACCTCAAACATTGTCTATGTATTAATTTTGATAGCTTAAGAACTCGAAGTAAATTTAAAATAAACTTTAAAAATAAAAATAAAAATATAAGTACCATATTTCCCTAGAAAAGTATAAAGTAATACAATATTATACAATTTTTATGGAAGGCCGTTTCATACGTTCTGCAGCAAAAGTGGAAATCATAAATTTTGATGCTCTTAATACAGAAAATGATATGTTTTGACAAAAAACAATATTGTAATATTGATTTTTTTTAAAAAACACCACCAAGTAGTATTGTTTTTTGGCCAAAGCACCGCCTATTATTATAATAGTACCGTCAGTTATCTCCATTATTATCACACTTGTCAGTGATATGACATTGTCATCGGTGACAAGATAAAGTTAAAAGTATACAACATTAACCCTACGTCCCGTAAACTTTTTCATAACCTAACATTTCCGTTCACCAACTACTATTCAAGACACTATAATATTAATATTAATATTAATATTAGTTAACAATTCATTTAAATTTAACATCTGGTTAAATTAGGTAAGTTTTAACATAACATTATTATTATTAAATTCTATTTGTTAAGTTAACAACATTTTACTTGGGTTACCTTGATTCCAACGTTCTCATTGGCTACGTTCTCTATGTCATGTGATAACTGATAAGTGATATTATTATAATTTTATAATCAAAATTCAATTATTAATGTATACGATCTATAGTATTTACTCGACTGCTTAGCATATTATTGCCACTACTATGACTTATTTTTTTTTTTTTGAAAAAGTTATATATGGTTATGAATGCTATAGTATGGTATGCCAATTTTGAGCAAATTTTTAATTTTAAGCCATCTTATAATTTTAAACTCATTTTTAGGTGACCCAGTGGACTTTCCAGGATCTTCTAGGGTTAATCATAGGTCATATATAGATATAAAAGGTATTTTCAAGTATATTAATAGAACAAAACAACTTCTACACATTTTAAAAGAAAATGGCGTGAATTATTTGCTAAAAAGCAAAATAAATCAGGATTCTCTTGAAAATCTATTTTGTCAGCTTTGTTCCAGCGGTGGCCTTAATGACCACCCATCCCCATTAAATGTCAATAGAATGTTAAGTGACAGTTATATTTTTTAGTTGACATAATAAATAGGTATTTTGAAAATAATTTAAAATTGTTTTTTATTTATATAACGAAATATAATTTTTAGTTGTTCAGATTTAAAACCTTTCAAACAATTATATTTTGTACTAATGGTAGTTATGTACTAAAATAGTAATAGTTCAGCATGAATAATCTTTTATTGGTACATTTTGTATTATTTTTTTATAACCATTATGTTAGGTGTAGTATTTAGGATATAATTTAGACCTAGTATAACTACGACAAGACATCAATGAATCACCGCAAGAAATTCATCATGTCAAAAAATTGCATTTTAGGGCAATAATGAAAATGTTTTGAGGGGGGGGGGGAATTGTTCATTATTTTATTAGTATATTCAGGACTAAATTGGACTAAAGGTTAAATAAGTGGGCTACGTGTACAAATTTGAATATTTTTAAACTATTTTTTATCTAAGATTTTATCACAACTACTGTCTAAAAATAATAATTAATTGAACATTATAGTTTTTACTAATTAATAATATTTGTGAAATATCTGTTTGTAGATATTTAATATTTGTACTTTCAAGGTTTATAATGAAACTGTTTATGAAATTTTAATTAAAATTTCGTCTAAAAAATAAAAAAATGTCAGGCCTTTGGGAAGGGGAGGGGGCTGTAGTGTTATTGAAATTAGGATTTGAGGCAATTTGCGGATAAGGGCCACCACTATAACTATGAATGTGTTGAAACTTTTGTGGATTGAAATATCACATAACTATAACTAGTTTGAACATACTATCCAAAGATTCGCATCGAAGCGTTTATTTAAAAGTGATTTTATCACTTTCAGTTATAATAAAATCTGTTGACTTGTGACCTCTCCGTTCCCACTATGCCCCGACCCCACTGTACTAGCTTTTTATACTTAAATAAGAACAGCTGAATCCATTTATTTTTATTTCATAATCAGTATTTTCTATTATTTATTTTTATAATTTTTTTTTACTAATTATCTTATATGTAATATCTGGAAAAATCAATAGCGTTATAGATTCTAAAATAATAAGACTAATCTTTTAGAAGAAAAACTTAGGTAGTATTTCTAATTATTTAAATATATTATTTCTTATACTATCTCTTAGTTTTGAAAGTTAAGGCCCCTGGATACCGACCATTTTTAAGGAGTTTTGTAGAGGCAATATTTAAGAAAAAATTGGTTTTAATACACTTTGACCGTGCCAATTAATTTACCGGTTATTTTTTAAAAGCATCATGGTGTTATTTTTAATTTAAATCATTTTATCTATGAGTAAAAGCCATTTTAGTTAATAAAATAGTACATTTTTTGTCCATCGCACAGGCTGAACCAGTGATTCGATAAGTAATCTAAAAACAGATTTGAATTTGTCATGAAGTTTACTTGAGATCGGTCAGCGTACTTTTTTGATATCTTATTCCTACTATGTATAAAACACGTTTAAACATTTTATAAAATTTCAAAATTCAAATTGAAATTTGGAAAGGGTTAAAATTAAAAATTGAAAAAACGCTTTGAACGATCTTAAGAAAAATTCATAAAATATTCATATCTGTTTTTAGATTGCTAATTGGATCACTGGTTAGACCTGTGTGATGGACAAAATAATATGTGTTTTGGCTGAAAAAAACGGTCGGTATCCAGGGGCCTTAAGACTCCAAATCGGGGTTTTTGTCAATTTAGAGAATGAAGTCGGTCGCTCCCCCTTTTCTAATCCATACCAAATCGATTTTGAGATAAGGTAGTACACTGCCACTTTAAGGCTTATGAGTAGAATTAGTTGATAAGTTTTTATTTTTTTATGCTATGCCACTTTTGTCTCTAGGATGCAAGATTGACTTTTTATTTTTGTTTCTCTGTCCGGACAACTATTCCGTTGACCTATTATTTGTGTGGCTCTGTCCGGAAAACTATTCCGTTGACATTTCTATTTTTGTGGCTCTGTCCGGAATTATATCGTTGACTTTTTTTTAGTTAATTTTTGTGACGTGTCCGGATTTTACCTTCGACTTTATAATTTTAAGTAGCTTTTATTCTGAAATCTCAGAGTAACTTAATATAGCATTAAAAAACATAAATATTTTCTATTGGTTGCATGGAACTTTTTATCATGATAACATTATCATAATAATATATAAAATTACTTCAATTATTTAACAAATTTTAGCTTCGATGCAAAGCGAGAAGGTATTGGTTTTACTCTGATGTGTGTTTTTTTTTTATCTGTATACACTGTAACTTTTTTAATACTGGACCAATTCCTTCGAGTAGCAACTCTATAAATCGCAAATTTCATCTAGTTGGTACTTTGAGGGGGTAAAAGTTGAAAAAATTTAATTCTTCACAGACGAAAGTTGAAAAAACAAAAAAAAAACCGTACGAGTTTTTAAGTTAGAACTTTTACTGGCTATAATTTCGAGAAAAATAGTCGGATCGAGTTGAAATGTATAAGGAATAATTATTTGGTATGCCCGCACACGTCAGTTGTGTCAAACTTAAACTATACCCATTTCCCACCCCCCTAGGGGGGGTACAATTTTTTTTGTTTTTCGGGGTTTTTAGCGGTAATTTTGAAACTTTTGGGTTGAAAATTTGCCAGTAGTTGGAACTCATATGTACCCATAACATATTAAACGGGAAAAAAATTCGGCACTACAGTTTTTTTTTAATTGTCGGGAAACTGTGTTTTCGCAGATTTCCTATATTTTAACAAAAAACACCTAAAATCTTTAAAAAAAATTGATCAAATCATTAAAACAATTTTATTTATATCTATGCAGAATGATACTATTAGGTTTTGCGCTCAAGTACCACTCTTGACTTAAAGTTTACACAAAGTTCATTTTTTTTTTTAAAACTCAAAACCCGGTGTACCAGATGTGAGAAACGAACAGACACTAAAATTTATCAGTTGGTAACGTCTATCCGTGTTAGATTAGTTTAGGGCCCAATGATCGGTATCATAATATTGTGTTTATTACATGATATCACAGGCGACTAAATCGTGTAACTGATTATAGTAGAAACTCAATTTATTGGGAAAAAAACCTATCCGTGTACTTATTAAGACACTTAATGATTCTGATACGACAAAACCACTGTCGTTATCTCGTTATTTTATAGCCTGCGTTATATAACCTTACCGAAGTGTAACTATGAGTATATAATGTCCAACTACCTGCAAATAATGAAGAGGACTGTTGTTTTTTGGATTCAGATTAAGTGTTGGTTTTTATGCAGTATACCGCCTCAAAATGTTTTTTTTATAATACAATTTTTTTAAAGGAAAAATAATGTTTTGTATATTGTTATACTGTTATTCATTTAAAGAGATTCACGCTTGATTGTTTAAATTGTCTAATATTAGATAATCTGCTTCGTGCTAATTTTAATTTTTTAGTTTATCAACTTGTAGCTCTAATTTTGTATAAAATATTTCATTATTTTATTACTATGTACTATTACTAAGATAAATTTTAATAATAATTAAGTCATAAATGATAATACTTTATATTATGACTAGATCAAATCTCGTGAACATTTAACATCATGATACTGCTTCTATGCTATTATTAAAAAAACACAATTTTTAAAATCTCCATAAAAGGTTATTGTTAAATAACAGGCAACAGCCGACTGCTAGTGGCTATACACGTTAGTAATATTTAACTAATAAGTAATATATGTAGGTAAAATTTATTGTTTTCTCCATCACAGTACCAGTATACGATTTATTTTAATTTAAATGTAAGAAAATCGATTTTTCTTTAGAAAATAACAAGAAATTAATATACAGGATGAGGCAGTAAAACGGCGATTTTCTAATGTATTTA